ATTTAATATGTACAAGTTTTTTAAACGTTACGGATCATGCTCGATCTAGTCAGGTTACTGAGATATTGTTTCATCCTCTGCTCTATCGTGTTGTCGGTTTCTCTCATGTAATTGAAATCGTACTGGCAGGGTAGACTGTAAATACAGCCTTGTTGTTGAGGTTTCGACTCAGTGGTTTTGACGTTCAGCAACTGGCTCCGTAATGATGTTTGGGATCTGAATATTAGCCGTATTCCGTGCTTCCCCATGGGCCATCTTCTGCAGCTTCTCGCTTTGATTTGGCAAGCTTGTGATAGTAATGCTTGTGTTGAAATTTGGTCATGCAATTTTAGTTCTTCCTTCATATTTTTAATTTGATGACTGCTGATTGCTTCTTCTATCAATTACCTCGAGTGGCCACTGTTCCTGAGAGCTCCGAGCGTAGACTAGCTTTACCCCCTCCCGACAAGAGTACTTTTATTCAAACACTATGCGTGGAAATTATTTCTTCCGTATTGAACGGCAAGAAATTATTGTCATGCGTTGGCTGGTGAAACACCCCAGTAACGTATTTGTTCTGAAAAGGTATCGAGTGGTGTTGCTCCGATTCTAATAGCATTCACGATTAGGGGAACATCTCCTTAAATAGACCTGTTTTTCCGTCTGTGTTCGTCACTATACTCACGTAATCCTTACCAGTAAAGATCTTGGCACTCCTCACTGAATAGTTGATTCAGAAATCCCCTGTAAATTCGACCACTTTCTTCTGTGTGAAGATCAACACCCTGATCTTAAACACGTCTTCCATTCGTCTCCCTTCCAAGACTTCTGCACTCTCACCCTCACAAATGCCTAACCAAATCTACCTAATCAATTTGAGGTCTTCTCAAGCGTGCATAAATTACTGTCTCCGAAGCTACGATGACAGGCTACTGTATGTTTGCAATGGGTTCACAAAACTAACTTGACTTACCTTTTTTCATAACGCTTTGTTTTCAAGTAAATGCCAAATATTCTTCATAACCGGTTATCGTTTTCGATCTGTGAGACTGTTGTCGTGGTAGGTCCTTCCAGTTGTCATGGTCTTCCGGAATTAGCCGGGATATTTCCAAGAACTGGACTGATTTCTTCTCGGACTTCCTGAGATCCATTTTGATCCGCCCTGACTGCCGCTTCAATCACACAGCGGTTGATTGGGTAGACTTCAATGCACGAACAGCAGAAGAAATTGCGCAGACTTTACGAACCAATTCCTCAACTCAAGCCTGAAATCCATATTTTGATTGATGATCAACATCGTGATTGATTAGCGAATCCCTCAAACCAAGCCTCTCTAGCTGCATGTCAAATAACTTAAAAAATAATCTGACATAGTAACAATAGTGGCTCGATTGTGGCTGCCAAAAGTACCGCGCAGCTTGGCATAGTGATCCAGAAAATTCCTTCTGACTAAGGCTCAGATATCGAAAACTGCATCACAGAAATCATAACGGTATAAATAAGGAAATATGGAATGAGGAGAAGGAATGAACAAGGATGAGTTCCAATCAGGATGCAGCTTCAATCACACAAGAAACTAACTGACAACGAAAGCTGAAGCGTTCGAGCTAGCAGCTGCGCATCAACACCAGGCATCCAAAACGGATCTGTTCGTAAATAACAGTCGACTTGTACGTAAACAGTAGTCAAACAGCGATTATAGTGCGCAGAATATTTTATGGCGTTCTATTTGAATATCGTTTACATAGTTATATCAATACATATTCAACGGCGGAAAAGTAAGAATGGAGTCTGCAATGTGATGACTCAGAATTTTATCAGCCCAAAAATGCAGTTAATCAGGCATATCTCAAATCCATGAGGAACAAGAGATCAAGAAAATGATCGAAGATAGGATCATTAGACGAGGGCAATAAGCCCTTCAGACCAGAAGCAGATGTAGAACGCAAAATTCGAGTTGGAGGTATTTTGAGCATGGAAACTCTGTAATGACGATGACTGTTATTTATGGATTATGGTTTCAGTATTTACTACTGATGGAAAAAAGGCGTATACTAGTGATGGAAAATTGGAGGAAGAGATCGACCGGCGAATTGGAGTAACCAGTGGCGTTCTGCGTGAACTAGCCCGACCCGTTGTGACGAAAGCAGAGCTCGGTCTGAAAACT